AAAATTTCTGAAGGGTCTAGGCCCGAAACGTCAGCTTTCCTGCTCCTCTGATGCTGCTTGGCCTGCTGTGTTCATCCAGCTCTACACCTTGTAATCTCAGATTCTCCAGCATCTGCAGTTCCTACTATCTCTGCACCGGAGTGAAGTTAACTTGGCTATTTATTTGGCCCAGATGCTGCAAGGAGCTATAGCAAAAGTCTTCAATATTGGCAAAAAACCTGATAAAACCAAAACAAATAACGTTCAACATATGATGTTTCAATGAAATTGCTGATCATCTTCAAATTTACTTCCAATAGTTAATACAATTAAGAGAAAGGTTTTGTGGTAAAATGTGACATACCTGCCCGAGCCAAATGCTCTGGGTTAAAGTCCCATTCCATGGCAGCCAAGGAAAAGTGTATCCATAATGCAGCCACCAGGTTGAGTATCAACTTGTAGACCATCCAAGTGGATGCCAATGGTTAGCCATAAGAGTAGGCCCGATTCCTGGCTGGCAGGATGCTGCTGATTTTCAGTGCAGACAGATGGCCTCGCAGGGGTGACCAAGAGCAGCTCTGCATTAATTCCAAATGTAGCTTGCAGTACCTGCTGCAGTGTTGAGACCCTATCTAAACCTCACTTGAATCAGATGTGTTACATTTGTAGCAGGGATTTGCAAGTATTGACTTGTGTTATATGGCCAGAAATTAATGAACCTTTCTAAAGGCAGGGATCAGAAGTAGCTAATCAGCAGCCTGGATTTGTGAAATATAGGCTGTATTTTGCTAACAACTGGATTTGAGGAAATAGGTGTGTTTCAAAAAAATGAATTGGACATGTCATTAGATCATTCTAAAAAGAGGAGTAGGCCATTTGGCCCATTGACCCTGCTTCACCATTCAACAAGATCATGGCTAATTGGCAAGAACGTGAAATTAAGGCTGCAATCTAGTTTCCACGATCCTTAACTCCATTTGACAGATTTTTGAAAGACACAATCTCAGCCTTGAAATATATTCATTAACCTAACCTGAAATTCTCTTCTACAGTGAGAAGTTAAAAAACAAACTGAAATAATTTCAAAGAGGCCTGTTTCCATCACCCTTCATCTATATGCGGGGAGTCCTTGACGCTGATCCAGTTCCGAGTGAACAGGACGTCTGACACTCCTATTTAAATCCGTCAGCCAGGGTTGACATTGGTGCAAATCACTACATCCCTCGCCCTCCGGGTCAGAGGACATAGGCCAGTTTTTTTTGTAGCTGGTCCTGGGGGGTTTTAGCATTGGGTCAGGCTCCTCCAACTCTGCCTCGGAGATTTGCCTATGTGTTACGCACACTAGCTTGCCTTTTGCACACAGAGCGCCTCAAAGGAATTAATTCTCCTCTTTAGGTGGCAAAACCTGCCAGGTCCATCTCATATTCAGAAGCATCTTCAACACTTGACAGACAGGGAGAACCCACAGGCTCTGGAATAGTAAGGCAACAGTGCTAACCACTGAGCCACCGTGCCGCCCCATTGTCAGCTGTTACCCGAAGTGCGTCCATAAAATTTAAAACCATTATGGACTCTTCCAGTGGTGGAACCACCCATGGTGTATCGGTCAGCAGGAGGCTACTCAATGCATCTATTTACTACTTGACCTCCCAGGTGGTGCTCCAATTTCTAATTATGGACACTTAGTATTACAGCCCACTGCTAAATTCAGCCTGAAGCTATGGGTGGCACTGCCTTGTCTTCTTTAAGTAGACCTAGCAGTGGTTTTTGGTCTGTTATTATAAGTTTACATTTGTAAAGGAAATAAAAACTGAAAGAACCAAGGATGCTGGAAATCAAACAAAAGCAGAAACTGCTGGAAAAGCTCAGTAGGTCCAGCAGCATCTGTATATCCGTAAGAGGTATTGGTGGAACTACCCGACTCCAACTATGACACCAAGCTTTCATTGTCTTTCTGGGTGTATCTACGCTCTGCATTAGCTAAAGTCTTGGATGCATATGCTATATGGTGTTCCACTCCATTGGGCCACCTATGAGTTAATACCACCCCAACGCCATAGGCATCGCATATCAATACCAGATCTTGCTTGGGATCAAGATGTGCCAACACCTTAGAGGATGATAGCTGTTTCTTCATTTCCTGGAAAGTGGTGACTTGGCTAAGAGACGATTTCCAAGGCTGACCTTTTAAGAATCGATGCAAAGGTGGCAGGATAGAGGCCAGGTTATGAACTTTCCGTAATAATTCACCAGCCTGTGGAAAGACCTGAACCCCGGTACTGATGAGAGAGCCTGGGCACCTTTGATCACCCTCACTATCTTCCAATGGGTGTATAGCCCAACTAGGTCACTTGAGGTGCCTAGAGCACACGCATTTCCCTTCTGAGCTGTATACTCACCTTGGAGAAATGTCTAAAGATTATGTTCAAGTTCTCCAAGTGCTCCTTATTGGTCTTCATGGTCACTCGCATATCTAGATAAGTGTGACCTCAGATAGACCTTGTAAAATGTTCTCCATCATCCATTGAA